AAGTGTAGTCGAAGTGAGGAAGGAGAATAGTTTTGGGAAGAAAAGCCGATGGACCAACTTGTTTGGTAGTGATGCATGATCGTTCTTAGTTTGTGAGGTGGCTTGTCCATGAATGAGTTTGTTTCGCCTGCAATCCCGTATGATTGTTTATCTGAAGTAGCTGGTTTGAAGTTTACCAAACTTTCACGTTGTCTTATTTATCAGCCACGGCCAGAACCCCTCTAACGGGCATAATGGTATGACTGGTGTGACCATAGTCGTGGTCTGTTGAACGGGAAGGGAGAGATCTCAACGAGTGTCTGCACATGCTTGCCTACATTTAAGGCAGCAGTGGAGTTTCATGCGCAGAAACTGTTATCTCACCACCTTGCTTTCATAGAAACGCGCTGTCCGGATCGGGTTGTAGAAGTGATTTTGCGACCGAGATATGAACTGTCGTAACTGTTGTTCAAAGGTCAACCTGAGGAGGTAATGACCTTGACCTCAATGTAGTAGGAAACGCATTGTGTGGACAACGAAGACTAGACTGGATCTCTAGTAAGGTAATAAAAGAGGTAGGAAGAGTGGCATGATAAGGAAGATGGATGCGGGGGAGCGTGAGGTTAGTGATCAGTAAAACGACAACTGGTTGAGACTGCCTGCATTTATTAGGCAAAGGTTGTTGGTGATGGTTGGGGTTGACTTACCTCTGCTGCGAGGAATTTGAGTTTGAGCGTGCCTGTTTGGATCCGAAAGATGTTGAGCGAAGCGTAACTAGGTACAGAGGTTTGCGGCGGCACAAATACCCGAAACAACGCAGGGTTGAAGTTTTTGTTGCTACTGTCAAAACCGATACTACTGTTACTTGTACCAAGGGCCCAACGGGTTGTTGCTGCTACAACACTTTGGTGTTGTTACTGCTGTTGGGTCTTTCTTGTCAGGGGTACTCTGTTGCTAGTAACTTGCTACGGCTCGCCTGTGCGCTGCAACCATTTTTGGGAGGCGAACTCCTGCTGTTTTTCTGCTACTGCTACCGCTGGCCATTTTCAAGCTGCGGGTGGTGCAACTAGCCTATGAGTTCCAAGTGTGGTTGTTGGGTTCCAATACTTCTGCCTTCCGGGTTGGTGTCAGTGATTGTCACGTTATTGTTGGTGCTCGTCCCTAGGTTCTGCAAGTTACTTAGACCAGCAACGATGCTGCTGTCACCCAGGTGTCGACGGTGGTTACTCCTAAGGGTGTAAACTGCTGCAACGGTGGGTCGGAGATTGTCGCTACAGTTGGGATCCTGATAATGGACCTGATAGTATTCCAACATCCGTGCTCTATGGTTTTCAGTTCGCCGATCGGCTGCCATTGTGGGCCCCTCGGGATTGGAAGGCACCAAGGCCCTCTCCGCACAAGTCTCAGTGACCCCCTCTTGTTCCTTGAGAGACTGATACCCCTTTCTCTTCCCTTTTCATTCTCAGTCTGGTCTAAAGGTTTAGGAGAGGAATGCGGCATGTGAGATTGCAACCCATAAGACCACATGAAGGCCCTGTAGAGGGGTTGACCCATCGATTGTGGGAGCTCTCACGGGGTTCAGGCGGCATCCTGTCAGGTTTGACCCATCGATTTAGGAGGTTCACGTGACTGCGCAAGAATTCCATATACCCCTATTTATGTTACCCTCTACTTTCGTTTTGACAGGTTTGACTAGCATGTACATTTTTTTTTTTTTTTTTCAGAATTTTAATTGGACTGGGGAATCCACTATGCTTGCCTTAATTCATCTTCCAAAACCGAAAGTACATGGTGTTTGCTTGTGATGGTTTGAATGGACCTGGGCGAATGTTGTTGCTATTGATTTGAATGCTTTGTAGTCTTAAATCTAATCATATTCTTGCTGAAAATGTCAGACTTGTTTTCTCGTGGGATAAGTCTTGGGAATGTTTTCTTTGGCTTACTTGCTGAAAAAGTCAGACTTGTCTCCTTGTGGGACAAGTTTTGGGAGTGCTTTTGTCTGACTTGCCTGTTGAAAATGTCAGACTTGTCCCCTCGTGGGAGAAATCTTGAGAGTGTTTTTGTCTCACTTGCCTGTTGAAAATGTCAGACTTGTCTCCTAATGAGACAAGTCATGAGAGTGTTTTTGTCTCACTTGCCTGTTGAAAATGTCAAACTAATCTACTCGTGGGACAAGTCTTGGGAGTGCTCTGTGTAGCTTGTCTGTTGAAAAGGCCAAACTTGTCTCCTCGTGGGACAGTCTTGGGAGTTCTGTATTCGGTTTGCTTGTTGAAATAGTTGTACTTATTTCCTAGTGAGACCGTTTACGTGAGTGCTTTGATTGTCTCCAATTTGAGTGTATATATTTGAATAAGAACAACTTGGGAATTAGAATTCACCTCCAAATAAGATATAGGATCCTTGCCTTGAAAGAGGGGCTTGACCAGGACAAAGCACAGACGATGCATTTTGTTTCGCTCGCCCGTTTTGTCATATCATTGTGGGTAAAGTAGTCTATTAGTGCTCGCCTTGTGCTTGAGCTATACGCAGATAGTTGTTATTTTTCTGTTCTTGCATTTATCGTTTACAAATCTTTTGTTTTAGTCGAGTTTTGATTTACTTCTTAGCTTAGTATAAGTTTTGGAACTCTCCTGTCTAAGAAAGATGTTGTCGAAATTTTTTCTAAGTTTAGTTTGTCTTGGGAGTTTAGTTTGTCTCCTTCATATTATTTTTAGCTTGTCTCCTTGAGATTTCTCTTCGAATATAGGAATGTAAAAGTTCTAGAAGCATACTTCCCCAGAGAAGATGTTGTCGCAACTTGTACTAAATCTAGGGAATTAGTGAAATTTAGATTTTATTTCCCGATTTCTACATGATAGATATTCTGCGAGCACACTTCCTTAAGGGAAGTGCTACCCAATCCTTTGTTAGTTTAATATCGTTACTGAACACTACCACTAGATAGTCAAAAGTTGTAGCGGACCCACCGGGTGTGGTGCTCCGCTAGTGACAGAGATGAAGATGGAGGAAGAAGGGGGAGCAAGATGGCACAACACAGCTCCCCACGCAAGACTCCAACGCACGTACTCCAAAATGTGCAAGTGAGGAATGAGACTGAAAACAGACAATGGCTGGGGTATACCCCAGCGGACTGACGGGCCTGGACTGGACTGGCTGGTACCGACAGAGGTACCGGCCTGGACTGGCCTACCCCGAATATAACACAGGCCTGTGAGAACAGGCCAAGGGGCTGGTCTCATAGGCAAACCCGAGGTCCGCTACACGATCCTCGGCATGTGATGGATCGCCTAGATACAAACATGCTTCTGCCAAGAAGCGGAACTCTGCCAAAGAAAAGAAAACCTGAGTAGTCTAGGATGTGGAGCAAGCTCCATGCTGAGTCCATGCGATGCAACCTAGGATATAAAATGTCACAAAACAGCAATGTCACAGCTAACAGCCTAAGTGAAAGTAGGAGCAACTAACTAACATACATGTCCTAGGAAAGCAAAAAGTAGTGACAACCAGATCCTTGAATGTTGGAGGCACTAGCCTCTGTCAGGTAACAACTGACTAGTGTATAAGTCCTAAGAACAGCAAAAGCAGAACAGCTAAATCCTAGAAACGTCAGAGGCAGTAGCCTCAGTCTGAGAGCAACAAAGCAATCAACAAGACAACCATATGTCACATGAGAAGTGTGTCGCACACCAAAGGGTGGGATGGTCTCTGAGGGTGGCGAATGCAGCCTAGGGGTCGAAAACTCCTAAGGGCATCCACACATAGTGACAGGGGAAAACACATGTCATCAGGCTCAATGAGGGTAGGGAACTGGGAGCGAACAGAACCAATGACCCTAACAGATAGACCATCATGGCGGGTAATGCTCGACTAAGGGGTGACCGCTATGGAGGGTCGACCATGCAAGGGAACAAGGGAGCCTGGTATACTGGGCGCACCTAGATGAAGCATGCGGGGCTGCCTAACTAGGGCGTGAGGGTCGGCAAAGGGTAGAAAGATGATGGGTAAGGAAATCATGCAAATGACTCCTAAAGTGATGGAAGTCGGAGCTAGATCCGTAAGATGGGAAGTCAGGGCAACGCTACGGTCCCGATGCCTATGCGTATACCAAGGGAGAGCCCAACTCAGAGGAACCCGGCTAAAGGGAGACCATCATGCGACACAAGCAGGGTACTGTACAGGGTAGAGTGGTAAGAGAGTGGCGACGTCTGAAGTAGGCAGAGTTGATTGTGATGAAGTCCATAAAGCTGCCGATGACGTCCACGATGAGAAGTCCGGAATGCCGTCGAGGAAGAGCCGCAGCGTCGACGAGCTGAAGTAGCAAAACTGATGTGGATGGAGTACTGAGAAGTCAARGACGTGGGAAGGTAAGTCAGAGTCAATCGTCGTATCGAGCAGGACGACGACGAGTGCACTGTGGACGCTCAGAAGCATCCGGCTGCTGCTGAAGGTCTGCCTCAGATGGAGCAGGCTCAACTTCAGCGGTCTCCTCAGTTGAAGGAGAAGGAGGAGGGTCAGTGGGCTGAGGAGGAGCAGTGAACCCAGCACGACGAGCACGGTCATAGGCACGCACCAGCATGCGAGCGTGCTCCAAGTGCTCGAGGGGCTCCCAGGTAGCCTCCTCATCAGGGTAACCCTTCCAACATACGAGATACTCGACGTGGGGAGGGTTGTCGTCGGTGACTCGGCGACCAATGATGTCTGAAACGAGGAACTCCTCGTGGCCGTCCACCATGATGGGTGGAGGGCGCTCGTATGGTCGTTCAGCGAAACTCGTCGATCACCGAGTGGTGGACGGTGCTGACCGAGATGGAAGAGAGCTGGATGTGCTCCTGGTCGTGGTCAGGGCGCCGGGATAGTGCATCTGCGACCCGATTAGTCTCACCCTTGATGTGCTCAGTGGTGAAACTAAACTCGGATAGGTCGCGCCACCAGCGAGCCTGTTGAGGAGTGAGTTTCGGCTTTGTCAGAAAAGCCTGGACAACAGAGTTGTCCGTGCACACCGTGAATGGTGCCCCGTGCAGGTAGTGACGCCAGTGCCGAGCGGCATAAACTACTGCGAGAACCTCACGTTCATTAGCAGTGTAGTTTATCTCGGCGGGCAGGAGCTGACGGGAGTAGAAGGCTATCGGACAATCACCGGAGCGAGACTCGACAGTGCCATCCTCGGCGATGGTAGGAGAATAGTCAATAGAAGGCTCGTCAGTAGCTGGACGAGTAGGCGTCAGTCGGGAAGCAGTGGTAGGGGTAGGTGGTGGGAAGCGAGGGATACGAGGATGAGAGGAATCAGGAGATGAGGGGAAGACCTAAGAAAGCACTGCTCCTATCGCGAAGTTTGACGCATCGGTGGTAAGGATAAAAGGGCGATCAAAATCGGGTAGGTGAAGAACCGGTGCGCATGTCACCGCCTTCTTGAGGGCGCGGAAGGCGTCCTCGTGGAGGGGTGTCCAAGCCCAGGGTGGGTTCTTCCGGAGGATGGTGGAGGTAAGGATGTAGGAATACCTAGCATATCCCCGGATGAAGTTACTATAGTAGCTGGTCAGGCCTAGGAAGCTGCGAAGCTGCTTGGCGGATGTGGGAGCGGGCCACTCCGCAATAGCAGTGATCTTCGCGTCGTCCATGTGGAGACCCTGGTCGGACACATAGTGTCCTAAGAAATCCACTTTGTGCTGGGCAAAGCGACACTTGCTTAGCTTGGCGTAGAAGCCATGTCTGCGCAAGCGGTCAAGGACGTCGCGGAGGTGTCTGAGGTGCTCCTCAAGGGTACGACTATAGACCAGGATATCGTCGAGGTAGACGAGAACGTACTGCTCCAGGATGTCCCTGAAGATGTCGTTCATCGCCCTCTGGAAGGTAGCGGGTGCGTTGGTGAGGCCGAATGGCATCACCGTGAACTCGTAGTGGCCGAATTGCGATTGGAACGCGGTCTTCGGCTGGTCGGCTGCAGCGACGTGGATCTGATGGTAACCGCTACGAAGATCAATCTTCGTAAAGAAGCGGTTGCCTGCTAGGCGGTCGAACAGCTCATCGGAACGAGGCATGGGGTAGCTGTTCTTAACCGTGTAGCGGTTGAGGCTGCGATAGTCGATGCAGAGACGAAGAGTTTCATCCGCTTTGCGAGCAAAGAGGACGGGTGCACCCCACCCCCACGGGGAGTTGCTGGGTTTAATGAAACCCAGTCTCAGGAGCTCCTCAAGCTGACGCTTGAGTTCGGTGGCCTCGGGGATCGAGAGTCTGTAGGGTGCCTGGTGGTGAACACGATAGTCAGGCACGAGCTGAATGGAGTGCTCGACGTCACGCATYGGTGGGATGCCGGCGTAYGAGAACGACGATGGGAAAACGTCGTGGTACTCTCGGATGAGGTCACGAACTGCGGGCTCCAAGTCAACCGTATATCGTGCGAGTTCCTCAGCGTCAGCATCAGCGCGCGAGTGGACTCGACGGACGGCGGAGGGACTGAGGTAGAGATGGGAGCCATGGAGATAGAGGGAGGATCTGGCTCCAGAGGGATGAGCTCGGCATCGGGACAGGGTGGATCATAGTGTAAGAGATCCGTCACGTCCACCATAAAGAAGGTGACATCGTCCTGTCAAATGAAGTGAGCGAACTGCCGAGGCGAGGTGACAGTGATAGAGGGAGATGGTGTGGGCACTGAAGGCTCCGGGGGAGGAGGATCAGGGCGTGGTGTCCCCGTGGTACCTATTAAAGGTACGCGATATGTCTGTCCACACTTCGTTTTGAGAACGAGAGTGTTGGTCGCCCAATCGGCCTCGGTGCTGCGGAACCGACGAGACCACGGAGTGCCCAGAATGAAGTCATACCCCGTCTCCATCACATCGACATGTGCAGAGGAGCGGTGGCGACGAGACGCCGGGGAACGCTCAGTCGGCTCGAGAGTGAGGAAGAAGGGGAGGTCGGTGACCGTCTGATCGAAGAAGCGCTGGGTCTTGTCATCCCCTAGGGTAACGGAGATGGGAGTCGGAGACCCTGYCGTGGGTAAGCGGGCTTCCTTCACCACGCGTGGGTGAATGAAGTCGCCCTGAGAACCRGAATCCCACAGCGYTGAGTACACCCTCGTGGAGGTCCCGAGTCGTACGGGGATGATCTGGAGGGTGCAATCAGGGTCAGAGAGGATGGCGAGAAGGCGACGCAGTGCAGCGACATGGAGGGTGAGTCGCTCCTGACGAGCCTGGAGCATGCTCAAGTCCAGAAGATATGACACAACGTCCTCGCGAGTAGCAAGCTGCTCGCTGCAACGGGCCGAGCGAATGGCTCGATGCGTCGGTAGTTGCGGCGGGGAAGGAGGGGAGACGGTGGTCTGCGGAGGCGCAGACGGTACTGCGACAGAGGGCTGAGTACACTCTGTCGAGTCCTGCGATACCTCAACTCCAGTAGCGAGAGGGGCGAACCGCGACGGAGATGTCGGGAAGCCCACTACTGAGGAGGGCACAGGTGTACACTGCACCGTGGCTAGGAGGCGTCGCGAGGACGTGAGGCGTCGGGGGGGGACTGAGCACGACGCTGACGAGAAAGGTCAGCGTAGTGGCGGTCGAGGGCGGTAGTGTAAGGGCACCGCGAGGAGGTATGACCGTCCAAGCGGCAGCGCAAACACCCACGCCGGCCCAGAATAGTCGCGCGCTCCTCATGGGAAAGGACACCACGAGGAGGGACGAAGCCCTGAGGGAGGTCCTCCTGAGGGACCT